GACATTTTTGTCATTAGTTTAAGACACCAATGTCCTTGAACAAACAACTTAGTTCTAAGATTAGAAGAACTGACTGATAAATTAAAGTATTTTTAAAAAATTAAAGTCATGACACTCAAAATTCGATATTTTTATTTCTTATAAAAAAAATTATCCATGATTTGAGAGATATTGATAAGTTTTCATGTAAACCAAATAACACTTCTATTAATCTTAATCACAAATTAAGAATAATAGAAGAAGATATGTTAATAAATAAGAAAATATAAGATTGGGAGAACTAACTAATAAAATTAAAATATTTTTCAAAAATTGAAGTCTCGACGCTCATAATTTGATATTTTTATTTCTTATGAAAAAAATCATTCATGACTTGTTGAGAGACATTGACAAATTATCATTTAAATCAAATAGCACTTCGTTTGATCTTAATCACAAATTAAAAGTAATAGAAAAATATATATTAGTAAATAAAAAAATATATTAGAAATTAATTAAGAGATCAATATATTTTTCCCCTAGACATCACATATACCTATTGATCATAATCACAAAACTGTAATTTATTATCTATTTACTTTTATCCTAAAAAATTTATATATGTAAAATTATAATATTCAGTACCAAAAAAAATCAACTGTTCTTGGCACATATAATGATAAAATAAATTAAAATATCTATCCATGCAAACTTTAATTATTAAATACCCAAAAAGTCTTATTTTTGAAAGGTATTATTATTAAGATATTGACAATAATGACAAACTTCGTAATATTTTTCAAAGAGTATAATTATGAAAGACTTTTTAAGACCAAAATTATTTTTAAAATCTTTTTAATACCAAAATTTTCCTTCAGTCTTCTCCCCTAAGAAAGATCAAGAAAAATAATTTTACGATAAATACATTTAGCTAAATGATAGTATGAATATAACAGCTCCGTCATTAATTTAAAACAGTCAATGTTGTTAAATAAATAACTCTAATTCTAAAATTAGGATGATTGACTGATAAGTTAAAATATTTTCTGAAAATTGAAGTCATCTATTCAAAATTTAATATTTTTATTTTTCATCAGAAATATTTTAATCTCTTGTTAAGAGATACTGACAAGTTAATATATAAATCATATAGTATTCTTGTTGATCGTAATAATAAATTAGGAATAATAGAATAAGATACGTTAGTAAATAAAAAAATGTGTAAGAGATTAGTTAGGAAATCGATGTATCTATTCTATTTTGAGGTTAGACATCACATATACTTATTGATCTTAATCACAAATTATAATTTATTATCTATTTATTTTTTTATCCTAAAAATTTTATATACATAGAATTATAGTATTCAGTAAAAAAAAAAAAAATCAATTATTCTTGGTACGTACAATAATAAAATAAATTAAAATGTCTGTTTACACAGACTTTAATTATTAAATACTAAAAAAAGATATATTTTTAAAAAGTGTTATTATTAAGATATTAACAATGATATGTAAGGGTAAATAACAATATCAAACTATAAAACATTTTTTCAAAAGAACAATTATCAAAGACAGTAAAATTATTTTCAAAGTCCTTTTAAAATCAAAATTTTCCCCCTACCCTCTCACCAAAGAAACATTAGGAAGAATAATTTTAAGATAAATACATTTAGTTGAATGATAATATGAACATGACAATTCTATCATTAGTTTAAGACAGCCAATATCCTTTGAACAAATAGCACTAGTTCTAAAATTGGAAGGACTCACTCACTTACATGTCCAATATTACTTGGAAAAGAAACTAGCCGTCACTCTAAAATACCAAATGAAACGTATCTGATTTAATACTAAATTTCTGATTTTCATTTACATAATTAATTTTCAAACTTTTGAAATTAAATAGTTTATTTAAGCTATTTCATAATGAAAAAAATACAGAAGTTGGGAAAGGACGGGAGTACATCAATTGTAAATTGTTTACTGACAATTACCGGTCCCTCTATAAATACAGTTGACTAAGATTGCAGGGACAGACTACAACAAAGAACAAAAATGAGTCAGCTCAACATGTACACCACTGTAACTCTCCCGAGTAGCTTTGTTGGTTAGTTTAATCACTATATTCTGATGATGTTGAAGTTAGTCTCATACTTTCGTAGTGAAATGAGTTTGCATCTCCATTCTGCTCATCTCCATTTCCAAGCACCTCCTCATCTGAGTCCTCGTTTATGTATTCTTCAACATCCAAGTCTCCCTCCTGTTCATCATTTTCACCATCATCTCGCTCATCGCCACCACCATCTTCATCTTCATCTTCATCTTCATCATAACCATTGCCATCCACAATATAATCTCTCCCTTGCATTAAGTCTTCAGACCTGCTGTTAAAACGAGCAGTGTAATCATCTTCCATCAAGTCATCATATTCATCTCCTGTTGCTTGATCATTTTCATTGTTATAGTCAGATCTTCCTGAACTGCTAGCATTTTCAGTGCCCTCTACATGCAATCTGGTTGTCTCATTTGTGTTCCAATCATCACTTGCAATTTCTCCCGATGATTTCCCATGCATATTTTCCATGGTGTTGTCACTTTTACTAATAATGACCAACTTCTTCGCTGGCTTCTGCTTGCTCCTAGTAGTACGACGACTACGCTTTCGTGTCCCTTTTCCAGGTTGCCTCCCTTTCCATCCTAGTACTAATGCCCCCCGGTCTGTGTTTGTAGTTCTCTTGCCAGGTTTAACCTTTCCTTGAGATCTCCCACCATTACTAGCATGTCCACAGCCTCGTCTGCGACCTCCCTTTCTGCGGCCAGATTTTGAAATCCCAATCCCTCTCTCAACCCAGTTTGCATCTTGAAGGTAGTCAGTATGTGGAGTTCTTGATGTTTCTTTATCTTGGGTGTTCTTCACAACAGTATACTTTGATGGAAGCTTCTAAAAGATAGAAAACAAAAAATCAATAAATTATCTCACATGTTATCAAATATGAGTAGCAAACAAGATTACGATCATCAAGTAGAAATGGAGGTTAGTGAGCCACATGGTATATGACAACACAAATTCATTACTTTTTTTCAAGCACATCATAAAATCCTCCCTTCGTAGAAATTTTTCAGGAAGCTCTACAAATGAATGTAACAACATTCCTTCCAAGACATAGGGCCTGCTAATGAGGCCTATTTGCTTAAATAGCTAAAACAGCCCTCAGATTTCAGCCCCTCATAGTTGGCACTTTCAAAAGTAGCCATTAGTTAAAACTGTAGCCTATTAATTACAATTCAAAATAAACCTAATCATACTTTGCGTACTTTCTTAAGCAGGACCTCTGAGATCAATTTATAGTAGAGCACTATGCCCCTGAACACGAGGAGCCTGAGAAAACGATTAATGTCAGTTTTGTTTTCTTAAGAGGAAAGATCCATGTAATTAACCTCTCCTAGAAGGGATAAAAATAGATTTTCTTTGTTTCAATAATTTAACAGAAATTGAGAATTTTCTGGAAAAACCAGAGAGAGATAATGCTCAGGAAGAACCGCAAAAACCCATTCCCCCTTCAAGATAACAGTGAAGTTACTAGATTTTGTACCATCATCAATTGCATATTTTTTTCACCCATCTTTCAGATTAAAAAAGAAAAAACTCTCATTCCACCAACACACCTAATTGTTTGTCAAGATCAAACGATCCTAACAGTACACTTCTGAACCAAAGCTTTTCTAATTAATTTCATTTATATTTCCAGTACACCAGCAAACACATCCAGAAAATGTGTGACAACTCTGCCTTGGACTTTTATGTCTCACACCGTGTGGCATCAGCTACCAAAATTGGGTGCATCTCCCAAGCTCCTCCACTATAGTGGCGTAGTGCCAAGCATCATAGGTGGATTCAAACCCACCCTCCTCATTGAGTTTAGTCCTCTTTTAAAAGTTCGAACATGTAATTGAACATAATATGTTAAAAAGAACCGTGGGACAATATTCATTCCTAACCATAGTCCACTCTTTCACCAACCTCATATATCCTCACAGACTATATGAAAAATGATGGAACGTTCCTTCATCATAACTAACAGGAGGGACATTCGCTCTTCCTTTCTCCCCTCCCTGTCTCTTTCACATACTTATAAAGAAACTATCCATCTTGCATATTTCATGATAGGGATAATGTAAAGAAAGATTACTCACAATGAAGTTCCGAGCTCCCTTCTCCTTTGGAGATTCTGTTTTTTGATTTAAAATGAACGATATGGAACAGTCAAAGTCCATAAGCCTTAATGCCACAGCTGCCATCGTTTTTGGTACCCATGGAAGCACAGGAACTGATTCAGAAAAAGTATGATCACTAGCAGCAATTGCAGACCACTTAGACGAGCACAACAGATCGCGAGTTGTTTCAAAATTAGAAGACAGATTGTCCCTTTTTATGGCAACCTCTAGAAGTGCCAGAATCTGAAATAAACAAAGATTTCAAGCAGTGAGCAATCTTTTTTTTTTAAAAAAAAAGCAGCAAGCAATTTTACAAGGGTAGTGAAAAGAAATTGTGTGTGTTTATGTACTATCTCATAAGTACATGAAAAACAAGAAAATGCAGCTTTTCACTGATGACCAACCTTTTGTTATTAAAGTTATTGATGTCGCACAGAAATATTTTGTTAAGAAAAGATAAGGTACAATAATTCCAGTTCACTATTTCTGTAATTGACAATCCACAATCCACAATCCAAGGAAGTGAGAGAAGTAACAACCAGAATCACAGGGTAGCTATAACCTCAATCACAGGGTTGCTAGGCACTTAATCAACAAGAACATATCTTTTTTTGAAATAAATCAATAAGAGAATATCAATATATTTTATTCGTAAAGAGACATGATAACAATTACCTATATATTTATTGAGTGTGTTAACAACCTTATGGGTCTATAGTGCCTAAATAAGAAAATAATGACAAAATAGGATTTCTAGCCAAATAGAGAATAATAACCTATTCTAAATACTTCCTAGAAAAACTAAATGTGGTTAATATACAAATTATCTTCTTTTTCTAAAAGAATAATGTATAAATTATCAAAATTATGTAAATACTCCTTAAGATTGAAATACTACATCCTAGTTCTTTCACTCCAGCATTCAAAACACACGTACGGCCCTATTCTTGTAACAAAAACCATGAATTGTTAGATTATTGGGTTCCCAATTATGGTAAAATAATTTTCAAATTGTTCAAGGACATCAAGGTCCATAGTGATCCATTCAGTTGCAGGAATTGGGAAACAGACATCCTTCTCGTATACTGCTTATGTAGCTAATGTTTGCATTGCAGCTGCAACTTCCAAAGAGCTATCCACTATCATTCTTTAGTTCACTAAGATTAAGCACTTCTAGTAATCCATCCACCAACATCTTGTTTTAGCTTTACTCATTAGCAGTGCTTTATTTGGAGTTTGGACACAGGATCATATTATATAACTCATACCATAAAAAAGAACAGGAAAAATGTTGGGGGCAGAACTATTTTTTTTTAAGAAGAAAAACTCAAGATATTCAAAGAGCACCAAAGAGGTGCAACCTTTATGCAAAAATATTTACAACTCTAACAAAATGTTTATAGATTCTCTAAGATCTTCACACTGTAGTACAGCGGTTGACCCCTAATCTATGATGCAGCAACTACGGAAAACATAAATCAAATAATGGCCTAAATGAGAAACCAAGAGAGAATAGGATGAACATATTTAGCATAAAAGGAATCTCAATGGAAAAGATTCCAGAATTTTTCCATATGTACATCTTTGCAACTGGCTCAGGAAAACTGGAATCCCATGCCTTTTCATCTTATCTTCCCTTCTCCAGAAACTTTCATCTTGGTTGCTGTTTTCTGCATCTACTCTTCCTTTGCTTTACTTAAATTGCCACTCTCTTTCCATTTTTACTGTTACTTAAGGTGTTTGAATGCTGGAAACAAGTTCTTTTACAAATGTCCAGAGTTCCAAATAGAGTGGTATAATAAGATCTTATGTATGAAATGCCATACAAAGATTTAAAAGTCAAGCCATTACCCTAACACACAATAAAACTAGAAAATCTGGGGGGAAAAAACCACCGCGAGACTAGAAACAATGAGCAACTCCTGAAGCTTCAGATAAATATGCATAACATTAACACCATCTTTGTGAAGTAATAGTACAGGAATTTAGAAGAAAAGGAAATACATATTTCCCATTTGGATAACTAAAAATTAAAAAAGTTAAGGAAAAGAAAGGACCAACATACTATCATGTTCAGTTTAGCTAAAAATTTAAAAAGTTACGGAAAAGAAAGGACCGTCATACTATTATCTCCAGTTTAGCTTTATAGAGGGAAAAAATAGTTAATTATAAGATAATAGTCAAAATTCTCTTTTATTAACAGAATTACAAGCTATCAGTAAGGATAAAATAGAAAATTCTCCTTTAAAATTTTAATGTTGTTTTCCTTTCCCTTCCTTTTTTTTCCAACTTGGAAAAATAGAAAACTAGGAGTTTTAAGAAAACAGAAGGATGTTGAACATCCCTCATTTTCCTTTACTAATCAATCTTTTTTATCCAAACAAGGAAAAGAAAGTGAAAATCCTTTTCTTTCCTTCCCCCCCATCCACTCAACTTCCCCCAATCTAAACATTCTGTACAGAAAAATGCATGCATGAAAAGGGGCCCAAAAAAAAATAGAAAAACCATACATGAAGAAGTTCCTCAGCTGATGTTGAGGAAAGAAGCTTCAGACCCCAACACTTCCGATAGCTTTCCGTCCAAATATCTTGAAGAGCCTCTGATGGAACAGAAACCTGCCAAGCCACATAGGAAACACTATAAAGGGTATCAAGAAATTCTAAATTTAAACCGAAGGGTGAGAATGAGGTGTTTTTGGGTTGAGGAAAGAAATAGGAGAAACAAAATAAAGAGAAGTTGTGAATGCCAACTAGCTCAGTAAAGTAACATTGTCACGAGAACAACGATGGGACTCTTCTCATTTAAGGGAAAGGAGAAATTTACTGGTTACCTCTGTGTTCGTTACCTATTAACCAAAGAAACAAGTGAAGCTCAACAATTTATCTAAATTTTGGGAGCACAAAGAATAATGGAATAGATAGAGATACTTGGTTGCCATGTGGAAAACAATGTTTCTCAAAGAAATGCCTACATGGTTTATTCAAGGAGAATATAGAAGATACTCACCTCAACCAATGCTAAATGTGCTTTGAGTAATCTAATTCTCAAAGGAGATGAAATGGATCCTTGCATAACAGAGTCAACACTTAGTTTCCATCTCTCATCACCCACATGCTCAGAAAACTTGAACTCGCTCTTCAATGTACCACAAGCCCTGTGACAAGAGGGACATTGGGTATCCTCAAAATAATAAATGTCATGGCAGTAATCACATAAATCAAGAAGTTGCTTGCTCCTTTTCTTCCCATACTTAGCGGCGCATAACTTTGATGAATAAAAGCATTCTCTCCATATCCATTGCTCAAAATCTTGATACCTCTTCAAGGCATCATTTCTCTCAGTTTCATTCCTCCCAAGCCCAATTTTGAAAGTTGTTGAGGTCTCAGTCAAATCGGAATCTGAACCACACAAAGTACTGCAAGGGCTATCACTACTTAAATGGCAAGTAGAGCCAGAAGACATTTCGTTAGGTTCGGTTTTAACAGTAGCTTCGCTTTGCCTTTGTGTGGTTGGAAGCACCACATTCCTCCTAACAGCCTCCTTGAAGGATGATTCAATTTTCTGCAACACTGAGAGCAAATGGGACTCTCTAACCCCACGCACATCTAGAGATGCCAATAGAGCATCAAAATCCTGCATATACATAAGGGAAAAATGATGCAGCCAACACAAGCAAAATCATGGAAGCACATTAACTAAACAAAACAACATAAAATATCTAACTCGCGAATGTTCCAGGGACATGGAACAAAGACCATCACAACACCACATAATCTATTTGATCATGAGAGACTTATGAGAAGACTTATTCATCAGTTTATTAACAAACTCTCTTTCCAGGGAATGTGAAAGATATTCTATTAGAAATATTCTTGTTACTGCACCAACTCATATAAGCAAAAAAAAAAAAGGATCCCGCTCTAATAAGCCCAAATCAAATGTCTACAGATGCAAAGATTTCCCATCTCCTCCAAGAGCACATAGCCACCTAGGACAAAAAGGTTAAAAAGCCTTTTCCTAGTTAAAGACATGGTTTATTATTAAAAATTAACTAAACTATAAATAGGCATTTTGAAGCCATTAATCTGCGTGTCCCAGCTGAGAGGAGAGATACCATTTTGGAAGCTTGTTAGATAAAGCTATTGCCTTCTGACCAAAACAAGTACAGATCCCAGAGACAGTACTTGGATTCATAAAATCTGTCTATCAACTAATGATGTTTGCCATGGAAATTAGGGAAATTTTTTTTAAAGACAGACTGTCCTTGCCCGGTTAATTTTCAACTGTTTTCCTTTGTGTACTTGGTATGAATATTACAAAATATCATAAAACAAAGTATCCACACCTCTCCTAGAAGAAGAACAGAAAAGTAATGATAGTTATAATGGTAGATAACACTTATTTTTTCAGTGGAAAGAACAAAACCAATCATTGCAGTTATTACCAATTCAGATTCACTGGCAGATGAGATATAACCCAACAATCCTTTCTAATTACTACTTTTATCATTTCAGACTCATCAGCAGAGTGGGACCAGATTAAATGGGTTCTTGTACCTTACTTATCATTAACAAAGCCTCATTGTATTGAGGCAGAAGTATACCTCTTTTTCCTACTCTAAGTATTGCTGACATAAGGAACATCACTATCTTCCATTTTCAAAAAGGAAGTAACAATAGCAGCAAACAGGCACAGAAGAGACATCGAATAGATACATCCACATAATGATTTGTTTACAAACTAATTAAAAGATATGAGTCAAAGACTGATACCTGTTCAGAATCAATAACTCTCCAGTGATCATCATGTAATTCCACAAAGATCCTACCACAGCCAGGATCATGCTGAGAGGCAGATGTAGTAAACTGCCAATATCTGTTGCGTCTACGATCCTGACCTAAAGGCAATGATCTGTATACATACATCTCCTCTGCCCTGTAACCAATGTATGATTTTAACTGTGATCTTGATTTTTCAGCAGCATATCCTGGTTGCTGAGTTGCAGAATTATCAAGGCCAACAGCAGTATCCTGCATTTGCAAGTTACCCTCAGAAGGCATATTATTACCATAGTTTTGGTCATTCTGTGGATCATATAGTCGTTCATGCTGAACAACAGGAACCAATGCTAACTCATTAATTTTATCAGCAGTAGCTGCAGGGCTTTGTCTAGCCTCACCCAAGGAAATTGTGAGTAGATTTTCTGATTTATTCCCAACATATGCTGAATAATGTGTCTTCATGACATAATCTTCTTTCTGACGACGTTTGTCAAGTTGCACTTCTGCCCACATTTGCTTTTTTAAAGCATTTGCTGCTTCTAACCTTTCCTGAAAGCATCTACATTTCAGATTACCGAAAAAAAGCATCCATTAAAGTTCTCCAAAGTCCACTAAAAAATCAGAAGTGATACCTCAAGAGTAAGTCGAATTGAGTTTCCTTCAATAGCCACACCAATTAAAGCAACAAGTGCATTTAGACGCTCCTCAACACATAGATCTGAGTACTCCCCTTCCATAAGTCCTTGCACCCATGGTTCACCAGGATTGCTTTCATCAATATCAGC